TAAAGACCACAGCCTAGAAGACCCTATGGAGCAATTCTACTTTGTCACATGGGGTCACTACGAGTCAGAACTGACTTGATGACAACTAACACCAACAACGGCAAGTGCTAAGCAGCCTTCCTTGCCAAGTCTTCTCTTCTAAGTTAGACCCGCCAGCATTATCGCCCTTGGTCTGGCTGGTGACATAGTTCTCAAGAGGGCTAGAGTTAGAGATTGAAAACAGAATCTTGGATCAGTTTTCACAGTTTAAAGTAAAACATCTAATAAATTCTCTAATCAAAATGAAAGGAGGGCTGGAAAACAGGATGGTAGCTGGAAAGAACAACTGGCTAGTATAAACACTGACTTTGAAAATAAAACTTTTCAATTCTAAAAATAATACTTTCTCATTGCAGAAATCTTAGAAAATATGAAAAAAAACAAAAAACAAACAAACAAAAAACCAAGCAGAATCTTTCTCTTACTTCCCCCTTAGAAATCACTGTTAACATTGTGTATATTTCCTTCCAGATTTCTGCCTCTCTCTCTATATACACACATATACATCTAATTTTTGTGTTACGTATACATATATAATTTTTGTTCATTTTCACAAAAATGGAATCATATATAGTACATAGTGTCTGTACTTGGGCAAGTTACTAAAACTCTTGGGGTCTTAGTCTCCTGACGTGTGAAACAGAGATAATAATACCTGCCTTTCAGGGTTGTTGGAAGAATTACATGGGATTAAGATGTAAAGGAGATGTCCAACAATGGCAGTTATTGTTATCACTGATGTTACTGAGACAGCATTCTTCTCTTCACAGTTCTGGGAATACAGCTGCTGGTTTTTAACAGTTTAGCAACTAAAACTTTCCAAATAATTGAAAGGTAAAGTTGTACTATTTGGGAGACAGGGACTGTACTGACTTTCCCAGCTCCACCAATCCCTGCACACACAGTCCCTTGGGATTCCTGTCTGAAGCACAGCACCAAGACACACAGGTGAGTCTCTTCCAGAGAGAAGTCTGAGGCTTCCCTTGAGAGCACATGACTAGCGTGTGGTGTGTACGGGGGTATGAATCTCTCTCCACCTAGGGGATTTTGAGGTTATGTGTCTGTGGGGAAGAGACCTGTGTTTTTGTGGGTATGAGTATGGGGGGTATGTGTCTGTGAATGGGTAGGCGCATGTCTCTGTGGGCGTATGAGCCTGTGAGGGTGCTGTATGTCTGTGTGTGGGGCTTGGCAGCAGGTTCTATGTGCTTAAGGGGGCTGGGTATCACTCTGTGAGTATGTCTTGGTAGACATATGTCCCTTCTCTACCTTTTCCTATGTTTTCTCTCTATCCCCCTCACTATCTTTGTCCCTTCCACCTTCCTTGGCTGTGTGCTTTGTTCCTTCTTTTCCCTTCTCACTCCACATGTCTCCTTCCTCCTTTCAGAATGTCAATGTCAGCCTCTGCCCCTCCACCCCAATCTTTCATTAAAACAACAAATGCCGACAGGGTCCTTTCCTTTGGGAGACATGGCAGGGAAAAAAGTCAAGATAGTTGGTTCAGAAGCTCCAAGGAAGAGCAAAGTTAAGCAGAGGTCTAGTTTGAGGAATGGGGCACCTCAGTACATTTGTAGGGAGAGGAGGAAGGGGGGGTGGAAAGGGGAGTTTACTGATGCCAGAGAAAAGAGAGATCTGATATGGGTCCCAGAGAATTCTCAGGAGACAAAACCCAAGCCCAGGTGAAGTCAATGGCTTTGGCCAGACTGCTCTTCCTTCCACAAGGGAGGTAGAGGAGAAGGAAAAGGAAGGCATCATGTAACAAAGCTTGGGGACAGGGAGAAAGGCAGTAGTGGAAACAGACCATACGGCCTCTCTCTCCTCACCAAAACAGGGAATGAAGCCCATCCCTGAGTCTGGTGCACGGTGGGGACAGGACAGCCCTGAGCGTGGTGGGGGGAACGAGGGTTTAGGGCAGCTGCTGCGGGCCATGTGAATGACAGCAGAGAAGGAGGAGGGGAAACTAAGATTAGCAGCATCACTTTCTAATAGATGTTTCTGCAATGGTTTTGAGACCTTCTCTAGCAGTACTGCCAGACAAGCAGCAGGTAAGAGGGGGCATGCCCAGGGTCAGTGGAAAGGCCAGGGAGCAGGAGTCTCTGGGAATAGGTGAGAAATTCTGGAATAGCTCCTCTCTCATGGATCTTAGCACCTTGTGCACAAATAATCTGTTTGTGTGCCTGTCTTCTACACCTGACTGTGAATCCCTTTAGGTCTAGACTTGCTCTCATCTCTGTCTTCCCCGTACTTTGCACACTGCCTGAGACAAGGAAACATCAGTGAACGTCTGCTGTACTGAAAAGCTCATCAATGCCCAGGACAAGCAGGAAGGCAAATAAAACCAGAAAGAGGTTAATAAACAAGTAGGTAGAGCTGAGAGGGGGCAAGAGGGCTGGTGGGAGAAAGTCATGGTAAAGATACAGGGGTATTCAAAAGAAGAGAGAGAAAAGAACAGGTGGCAAAGGAAGGAAGCTAGAATCAGGGCGAGAATCCTTCAGCCAGAGACGTAAGAAATGAGTGAGTTTCAAATGGTTAAATGACACAAGGTATGGTACCTGCTGGGTGGCTGACAGTGCTTTTCAGTCTACAAAGTCCTTTTGCACATACATGACTTTATTTCACCTTCAAAACAACTCCAGGAATAAGCATCAATATTTTCACTTCTCTCCAGATAAAAAACAAAACAAAAAACCCATTGCGGTCGAGTCAATTCTGACTCATAGCGACGCTATAGGATAGGGTAGAACAGCCCCATGGGGTTTCCAAGGCTGAAATCTTTACAGAAGCAGACAACCAAGTCTTTCTCCTGTGGAGCGGCTAGGAGGTTTGAACTGCCGACTTTTAGGTTGGCAGCCAAGCACTTTAACTACCGCATCACCAGGGCTCCTCTCTTTAGATAAGGAAGGAGATTCAGAGAGGCAAAGTCAGTTGCTGTAAACTACACAGCTGGGCAGTAACAGAGCTGAGACAGGGACTTGGATGTCCTCGTGCAGCTTCATCTTTGTTTGTGCTCCTGCATGGCCTCACTGAGGGAAAGCAAAGACTCCTCTACAGATGACAAAATACAGCAAATGTGAGTACAGTGGGAGTAAAGGAAGGCCAAAGGTGTGGACTGTGGAGTCACTGAGGATGGCAGGCAGTGAAGTGGAAAGAAGATGTGGACCTCTAAGCAAATGGGGGATGGAGGCAAGCACGTAACAGTGACAGGGCAGTGAAGAAGTCTCCTAGGTGCTGTGCTAGAAGCCAAATGACAGAGTTGAGCTTGCGCCAGGCCATGGCAGTAGACACAGGAGTCTGACAACCCTTACTTTGGAGCCTGGGAGTAGAAGCAGCAGCTTCAACTGGAGAGAGTTCAATGTTCCACAGAGTCCCCAGGAGAAGGGAGATGTTAGAGAACTTGATACAGGGGAGTGTTTCTTCACAAATACTCCCCGTGGAAAAGGGCAGGCCCATGTATTTAATGTAATAAATTGGTGAATTCATTATGAGGGGTTTATATCCTTAGCCTTTGGTACGTGTACATATTATAATAGCTCCTACCTACTCTAGAAGGAGTTAAAAAGATAAAACCTAAACCAGCAGTACCTAAAGTCACCATATTACTGGAAAGAATTTCTAAAATAAATCAAGATATAAGGGGATATAGCGAACAAAATGTTGGGCCCAGCTATCTGATGAATCAAGAAGAAATTTAAAATATGCCAGGATTACATACTCCACATGGTGAGAAACACACTGACCCTTAACCTCTTAAGAAGATCCACCAGAATAAGAGACACAATAAAGACAGAAATGAGCCGGTTCACTTAGTGCTATGCACTAGAGAGGACCACTGATTTTTATTTGATGGCCCTGAGCTAGATCTCTGTTTTGCTTACGGCTTCTTGGGATAAGGGTGAGCTGACACAATCGAATAAGGAGCGACGTTGGAATGTCTTTCTGCTCCCAGGAAAATGTGGCTCCTGGGTGGACCTTTTCAATAAGATGACTGCAGAATGGACTGGAGAGCTCAGCAAAAATTATGACTGGTGTGGAATCAATCACTGAATCAATGGTAAATGTCTTGAATCACCTGTTCTTAGGTGACAGGCCTATGGCCCATCAGATGGTCCCTTTCTCCTGAAGCTCTCAATTCCTAGAAGGCAGTTAGTGCCTTTTCCTACATATGTACAGTGCTTCCTTATCAACTGCTGCTGACTTGAGCTGTTTGGAGACAATGTTTTTAATCACATTATACTGGAAAAGGAAAGTTATTCATAATGAAAACAGATCCAAATCAGTCACAGACTCTTCTGTAATCTACTGAAGACAGTCATGATGACAACATTTATGCAGAAACATTTACTGAGTACCTTACCATGAGCCAGCTTTTCTACATGGTGTCCTTGCATCCGTTATCTCACTTCATCTTTACATAATTATGTACTGAACAACTTTATTTTGCGGACAAGAAAATAGTCTTAAGCCAAGTGTTACACAGCTAGAAGGTAGACAGCTGACTCTAAAACATACTACATTGAACAGTGAAATTCTCATCAAAAATTTCAGAGGGTTCTGATGTCAGGCTTGTGTACCCAAACCACAGCTGACAGCATGTCTATGGAACATGTCAGGACATGGCAACAGCCTGAAGACCTTGGGGATCTCAATTGTTCTTGTCACTAGCTCCCAATTTGTCTTACAAAGAAAAAAAAAAAATCACACCACCTCTGGTGCTTTGGTTTCACCAAACTAAGAAATGGGAAAAGTATTATCTGCTCTCTTAAACTCTTAAGAATGTCATGAAGACATATATGAAAGCTATTTGGAAATAAGAGGGTCATGCAATCAGGTGATCTAAAATCCAAATGTCATTTTGAAGTCAGTATTTTTAATTTTGTCACCTGCTGCAGTAACAAGTTACAGACCTAACATTTCTAGTTAGTTTATGCAGGAAAAGCAGAGCACACGGTAAGCAGTAGCCTTACCAGCAGTAGTCCAGCAGATGTGGAGGCAGGACAGGGATGTACACGTGCTGCCAGTACATGGGGTACAGCATGGCAGCAGACCCGTGGATACAGGCAGTCAGCTGCAACAGAAGCAAATCAGAGATTCAGAGCTAAAAAAGTCAAAGTGAGGAAACATTATTATTTGATTTCAGCAATAAAATTAAAGACTTATCAACATACTTAAAATTATAAGTTGAATTCTGGATAAATAATTCTCAGTTAACTCAATCACCCTAATCCAAATTTAATAAGCGCTTTCTTTAAAAAAAACAAACTATGTTATTATAAAACAAATGTACAATTATCGCAGAAAATTTAGAAATGGAGAAAGGGATGAAGGACTATGGGTCACTACCATCTGAAGATAATTTAATATTTTAGGGCATTACACACATATATACTTATGTTTCCTTTTCTTAGAATTTTTTTCTGCTCTTTCTTTACCTTAACGTTACATGATAGCACTTTCTCATGCATCTAAACATTTTAAAAATATATCCCTAATGATTGTATAATACTCTACTCAATGAATTTGCTATACTATATCCAACCACTCTTCCACCACTAAGTATAAATAATCAGATCAGGTCAACAGTTTTTCTATGAGGTTTCCAGATGGAGAATTAAGAAACAAAAGTACAAGTATTTTAAGTCATGTAATAAACATAAATATCATAAATATATAAATATAATAAATAGATGAAGGATGGAGGCTTTTTATACTCTCCCAGCCTTGTACTAGAATGCTGGCCTCCATGCACCTCACCAGCATCAAGCATTACAGTCAATTTAGTAGTTTTATAATTGTATATGTCTTGTTTTTACTTTTATTTCTTTGACCATGACCAAAACTGAATGTTTTGTCATAGTTTCTTGACTATATTTCTTAGGTATGTGGTCTGTTAATATTCTTACTTCATTTTGTTCTAATAAGCATTAGTATTTTTTTAAAAATTGATTTAGAAACAAGTACTGATGATTATATAAAACATACTAATTCTTTGGAAGATTTTAAAAATAATCATTTATCCTTGTTTAATTTTCTTTGAACTTTTGGCTGAAGAGGAGTTTGAAATGATTATGTAGACAAATCTTTTCCTTCATGACTGTTTCCTAAGAATGCCCTTCACATTTTCTGCCCAGCATTTAACTCTCTAATCCATCTGGAATTAATTCAGGTTTAAGAACCGAGGCGAGAATTTATTTTTTCCACACAGTTAATCAATTGCCCCAGCACTGTATACTGACTAATCCTTCCTTTCCCCCTTCTTTTGACGTGACCTCTATTTTGTATTCCTTTTTTGTTTATTTTTTAAGAGCTAGACACATCACACAACTGGTATTTGATACAATTAAAAAACTGGGAAACAAAGATAATAAAATAGATAAAATTGTTTCAAAATTCAATATAGTGAAAGAAGGAAGAAAACCAACACCTTAGGAGCCCTGGCTATGAAGTGACAAAAGCCAATAACACATGTTTCTTTCTGTCTTTTTTTCTGTAATGTTTCTTTGATTTCTGGGAAGTCTGTTCCCTTGAGGACTTTGCTTCTTTTGGAAGCTGTTAACTGGCCTTTGCTGACAGAAGGACATTTACGTGACGAAAGAGTGACGTGCCAAGGACCAGTTAAAAGAATCCCAGAGGTTAGTGTAACATGAACAGCTTTAAATTGGATATTCTGCTGATGTTTCACAGTTGTGAAAGCTGTGTATTAAAGCCAGAGCTGCTACTTTTTTTTTTCCCCTTTCGCTTCAGAACTCGTCCTTTAAATCAGGTACACGTCCTGAAAAGGAGATAATCTAGCACGCTCTCTCAAGAGCTGTTCCCAGCAACTTCACTGGTTTAATCCATCCCTCCCAGATCCATTTTGGTAGGTTTCCATATAAAGGAGGCTGTCGTATACATATGAACAATCTCTCAGGGTTAGAATAAATGAAAAATCTTTGTTGGTGTTGAGTGGAGAATGAAGTTCACTTTACTCCAACTCTACCCTGAAGTCAGGTTGAAGGCTTATGGGGGCCTCAGGTCCCACCCTTTCTGCTCATCCTTCCACCAGCCACCAACGTGCTCTTACAAAAGTGCAGGTCCAGTCATGTTACTCTGTACTCAGTCTTCAGTGGCATGTCTGGAATAGGCATGTCTCCATGAACTGGCCCCTGTCTATCTGTAGAAAAGCATCTCTGGTCACAGTCTCTACTGCCTTCCCCAAGTTTATCCTTAGAAAAAATCATTTGCAGACCCAGGAAGAGTTATGCACTCCTTTGTCTCCTTCTTTGCAACCCTCCCTTAAATCAACCAGACTTGTGGCCCTGGCAAACCCCTCCCCTCCCCTCCAGGTCTCTGTACAAGTACCATCTTCTGTGAAGCCCTGCATGGCTCCCCTAGGCACATGGCCCATAACTGTCTGCATGTTTACCCCTAAACTGTAAAGGAAAGAAAGGACCCTGTCTCTCTTTTCATCTCCATATCCTCAGTGGCAATGGTATATATACATTGTTAGCTGTCAAGTCAGCCCCGGACTCATGGCAACCCCATGCAAAACCAAACTGGACAGTTGGGATGCATAGGGTTTCACTGGCTGATTTTGGGAAGTAGATTGCCAGGCTTTTCGTCCTAATCCATCTTAGTGTGGAAGCTCCACTGAAACTTGTTCAGCATCACAGAAACATTTAAGCCTCCTCTGACAGCCAAGTGGTAGCTGTGCTTGAGATGTCCTAGCCTAGAATCAAACCTGGGTCTCCTGCATGGAAAGAGAGAATTCTATCACTGAATCACCACTGCCCCTATGACATATATATATAGGTGCTAGTAAATGCAATGTTTCCTGAATAAATAAAAAACAACTTCTACTTAGAATATAGTCACAATATAAAGACAGTCAGTGGCTTAGCTTTTAATGGTACTGGACCAACATTTTCATGACTCTCAGAGATGTCTGTGACTCGAATTCCAAAACAATAATAAGCTTAGATACACATATATGCCACTTTTGGAAAATCAAATAATTCATTCATTCATTCAATGATATACCTATTCTATAACTCTATAACACATCAAATAAAAGCACTTTAAAATCCATGAAGTATCACACAAATGTAAGATATCATCATCATGTATTTATTTGTAATTCTCTTTGAAAAAGTCATTCAACAGAATTATCCCGGTTGAGACAGAACCTGATTACCTGCCTCTTTTTAGCTTAAATTGGTTTGGGTCAAAATCCTATTTCAAAGGATAAAGTGGCAGAGATCTTATCTTCAGACAATGCTCTTTTTCATGTCTCCTTAACCTCAAAAAAACTTACCAAGCTAAACGCCAAGATTTTAAAATTACTTATCTCGCATAAAAATCAAGCTTTTAAGGTGTTTGATCAATTCATTAGGGGGTTTTCTAAGGGCCAAATCTCCACAATTGGAGTAAAATGCATTCACCCATTTAATTAAGAAAACAAACAAACAAAGAAAAGGAATTGTTTGGCTCTTTTCCAAAATACTAAATGGCACAAACTATGTGCACTGTTACTTAGAATGAATAGTGGCTAAATCAATTACAAGAAAAGTCTTAGGACATACCTATGCTTAACTAGAAATGACATATTATGTCCTGTTAATTATCACTAGTCATTTATTTTAAAAAATAAGTCTAAAATCCCATTTCTAAAAATATGGATCAAAAAGGCCGATACTCATTTCTTACAGAATACAAAATTAAAAGGTAATGAAAATATACAATTTGGAGTGTAGTCAACAAAGAGGGTATTGTGAATATTTAATTGAACTGCAAGTTGAAGAAAATGATCCTATCAAAATTTCACTCAGTGGGAGAATAGAAAGATAGTATGTGTAAAATTTGCCCAGAGTCATTAGTCACAATGAATATTCATCAGAAGCCAATTATCAATCCCATTTAATGACACCCCAAAAGATTTTGCCCTGAAGCAGCTGAACAGTGTAAGACTCCAGACAAAACTAGACAAATTATACAGCCAACAGCCAGTCTAGCCAGGACACAGATTATAAAGTAAACCACTGGTGGGTTTTTGGATGCACTTTAGCAAATTCTGTCCTCAATTAAAGGTGCACAAGGTCGGTTCTATCTTGGAGCTTTATACATGGCTCCATTAGTTTTCTTTGAGGGAAAGGAAGAAAAGAGAAAAAGGCATCAGTGGTAGGACATGAATGGAGAGAGATCAATGACAGAGTTGAAAAAAACCCACAAAGACACTTTTTTTTTAAAATTTTAAGGTATTTCTCAGAGATAATGCCCAGATTGTCACAATCTTAGACTCCAATGCCTCAGCTGATTCCTAATAGCAGTTCTGCGATTTAACAGAATAAAAATAAGAATCCCAACAGAGAGTGCAAAGTATTATTTGGTAGGGATAAACAGATGGATATGTGTGTGTGTGTTTAAATAAATATACGCTCATCACTACATTTCACAGATAAGGAAATAGTCTCAGAGGTGAAATTACTTGCTCAAAGTCACATAGCTAGTAAGTGACAGAACTGGGACTCACATCCAGGTCTGTCAGACTAAAATGGCCATTGTATTTCCACAATGTATAAATTAAACTAAAAATTTTTTACTGAGTGCCTAATCTGTGCCATACACTTTGCTGAGGATTCTGAATTGAAATGAGATATTGTCCTTGCAAGCAATACCAAATTATGTACAAATGCATTTGCCTTGATATTTGACAACCAAATATCTAGGGCAATGTACTAATAACCATTTTTAAAACAGAAACAGATCTGAGCATTTACTCAGGATTAGTTACATTTAACTAAGGTGGTGTACTGTCTTTAATCCACAGGAAATTCTTGACAATGAAGTAATGATTATTATTCAAACAGAAAGGTTTAAATCCCATTTTGGAGACACACGTATATGTGAAAGTCTTGCTTTCTGTCATGTTCTCTTTCATATACTTGAATGAAATCTTCTACTGTCTTTGCGATCTGAGCAAGCCACTTCCTCTCCTGTGTTTCAAATCCCCTACATGAAAAATGAGAGACTGGACTACATGATCTCTGTTTCCCCTTCTGGCTTTTGATGACTTGTAATTTCAGAGGAATT